GGGGATCAATTTAAATATAAAAGAATAGAACTAACTTTTCAACAAAATCAATGGTAGTAAATGTTATCTTCATAATTCTGAAAGAAAACAACTGCCAAACTAGAGCTACATACCCTGATAAATTACCCTTCAAAAAACTAGTAAGATAAAGACATTTTCAGACAAATAAAAAACACTGCTGTAAAGTAAATACTAAAGGATTTTCTTCAGACAAAGAAAAAATATCTTATAGAGAAGCTTGGAGGCAAAGGAAGAAATTCAAATCAATGGAAAGAGTAAATATTTTGAAAAATGTAAATGAATAACTGTATATAATAGTATCTTGTGGAGTTTTGATTATATATAGAATTAAAATTTACAACAATAATAGTTTATAAATTGAGAGGAGATGAATGGTGGTAAAGTGTTCTAATGTCCCTGGATTAACCAGAAAAATGGTCAAATTAATAATTTATTTTGGCCTTTAAGAAGTCAAATGGTTTATGTTATATTTATCCAAGGTAACGACTACAAATAAATAAAAGAATGTAACTGACAACAATAGATAGGAGAAATGAAATAAAACATAATTTCAAAAGAAGGCAACAAAAGAGATAAACTAATCATAGAGACAGGAAAAATAGAAGGTAAATAGCAAAATGATAGACTTGAATCCAAAAGTAGTTACACTGAATATAAACTTAATAGACATTCCAATTAAAAAAGGAAGATAGAAAGGATAAAAATACAAAACTCACTAGATGTTGCTTATAAGAGAGATCTTAATATGTGAGTATATAGAAAGATTGCAAATAAAAGGATAATAAAGGATGTCTTATTATCTAATAGGGTATATATGTACATATAATGAAGCATGAAACAAAAGAAAATTTGTGTAACTATGTTATCAGAAAATATACGCTTTAAGGCAAGAAGCATTGCTGGATATAAAGAGATATTTTGCAAAATGATTAAAATTGAATTCAGCAGGGACAAAACACAAGTCTTAATTACTACACAAACAATAACAAAGCTTCAAAATATATAAAGCTAAATATGGCAGAACCACAATGAAAATACACATTTTTATAAACATTGAGGAAGACTGTAACACTCTTCCACTAGTAACTGACAGGATGAGAAGACAAAATTTTGGTAAGAACATAAAAGGTTTTAACAACACAACTAACAAATAATAAATAAATAAAATATGTTTTCTTAACTCAAAGTACACAAATAAAAAATAAAATAAGAAGAAAACAAAGACTAGAATATCCCTATATTTTGGAAGTTAAATAAAAATTAGATCAAGTCACTAATCATGCTGGAAATGAGAAAATGTTTTGAATTGAATAATAATGAAAATATGACATATAAAATTTGTGTAAAGCAATAGTTAAAGGGGAAACTTTTAGTCTTGTATAGTCACTAGAATTGAAGTCAGTCTGAAAATCAGTAATCTCAGCACTCATGCTATGAAATTAGAAGAGGAAGCAATGCATTAAATCCACAAAAGTATAAAAAATTCAAATAGTCCTCTAACTATTAAGTAAATACATCTGTAATTGAAATCCTTTTTATGAAGAAAAATCTGAAAACATTTGCCTTAATTTGTGAATTCTACTAAACATTTAAAGAACAATGATCTTATACAACAAACTGTATTAGAGATTAAGATGAGAACTTCCCATATTGTTTTCTGAGACCAGTGTAACTTTGACAATATCTGACAAAGATATTTTCCAGAAAGGAAAATTATAAACCAACCTCACTTTATAGTATTTCTGTAGAAATCCCAAACAAAATATTAGCAAACCAAATACAGAGATTCTATAGCAAAGGATACGCACAATAGTCAATTGGGTTTTATTCCAGGAATACAAGGCTGGGTAATGGAAAAATCCAACCAAAATTATTCACCACATTAATAGAATAAAGAAAGAATCATCATAGTCCCAATAAACCACAAAAACAAAACTCACTGCTGTCGAGTTGCATCCAACTCATAGTGACCCCTCCTTGGGTTTCTGAGGCCGTATCACTATGGAAGTAGATTGCCCAACCTCCCTTCTGAGGAGTGGCTGGTGGGTTTGAACCACCAGATGTCAAATGCCTTAGGCACTACGCCACAAGAGCTCCCTTGTAATTCCAATAGATTCAGAAAAAAAAAAAAAAAAAAAAAAAGATGAAATTCAATGTTCAGTTCTTGATTTAAAACAACAAACTCCAGGCAAACTAATAGAGGAAACCCTTCCTTAAACTGATAAAAGTCTATTCATAAAAAACTATAGCAAATACAATTTTTAATACTGAAATGTTGACAAGGTTACCCTAGGATCTGGAACAAGACAAGGATGCCTATTATTACCATTGCTATTGAATATTTTACCAGCTCTAAGCAAGAAAAAGAAATTAAAAAGATAAGGATAGGAAAGGACAAGGTAAATTGTCATTAATCACAAACAACCTGATTGTTCATAGGGAATTGAAAACACCCTATGGGTAAATAGGAGCTCTGGTAGCATAGTGCCTAAGGCGCTTGACTGCTAACCAGAAGGCTGGCGGTTCAAACCCACCAGCCACTCCCTGGAAAGAAGATGAGGCAATCTACTTCCGTAGTGATACTGCCTCGGAAACCCAAGGAGGGGTCGCTATGAGTCGGGTCCGACTTGACGAATTATGAATAGTAAATAAATTTATACAGATTTCTAAATATAGAGGAAAAAAAGTAGTATTTTCCTAATTATCAACAAACCAAAGATGAAATTTAAAAATACGTTTAAATAACATCATGAGACATCATATACAACATCAACCACAAACATTGAATATATTGAAAATATATGAGAACCTTACACAAAAAGCCATCCATGAAGTCCAAAAGAAATGAAAGATGACATTAATAAAAAGAGAGAAAATCTCTGTAAAAATTTCGATTGCTACCAAATTGATCTGTGGATCCAAAGCAATGTTTTTCAAAATCCCAACAGGTTGTAGTGTGTGTGTGTAATTAAAATTTCCATGGAAATTTAAAGGGCCCAAATTAATCAAAATAGTTTTGAAGAAGAACATTCAGATCATTTACCTATTACAGAAAACAAGATTTCATTATAAAATTACAGAAATTAAGACAATATGAGAGTGAAACAAGTACAGGGAAATACACCTTGGAACAAAATTGACCCACCTATGTATGGACTCTCAGTTAATGGCAAAGTTTATGGTACAAAGCCATAGAAAAGGAATGGTTTTCAAAAAAATAGTCCTGGGTTAATTAGGTATGCATATACAGAAAAAAGAAGTCCGTAGTGGTACAGATGGTTTGTACTTGACTTCTAACCTGTAGGTTAGCAGTTCTTCTCAGTGGTGCACTGGAAGAAAATGCACCTGGCAGCCTACTTCCTTAAAGACGATAACCAAGAAATATGACAACTGAACAGCTATCTGAATAGTTCTATATTCTAAGAATCTGCTTTCTTAAAAGTCATTTGAACATTGATTTTGAGCAAAAATGAATTTTAGTGTGTCTTGCTGAAATCTTCTATCTCTGTATTCATTACTCTTGTGTTTATTCATTACCCATTGGGTACATAAATGTTATAAATGGTGTTTTGGCAAATGTTGTGATGAGGTATTTAAAGGACCAAACCTTCTGAGTAAAATACAACCAATTAAGTTCCTGATGAAAAAACCCTGACAAATCTATATTAGCTTATTTATGGAGTGTTAGAAATAAATTATAAGCCACTATAGGGAGCTCTGGTAGCATAGTGGCTAAAGCACTTGACTGCTAACCAGAAGGCTGGCGGTTCAAACCCACCAGCCACTCCTCGGAAGGAAGGTTGGGCAATCCTACTTCCGTAGTGATAATGCCTCGGAACCCAAGGAGGGGTCGCTATGAGTCAGGGCCGACTCGACGGCATATAACAACAACAACAACAACAACAATAGTTTTACTTCAAATATTAAGTAAATAGAATCTGTACAAACTTAAGCATGTTAAGCTTGCCATGAATGATTTTTGTAAATAATTTATTTCATTAATTTTTGGGTTTTTTTGTTGAAAATATACACAGCAGAACATATATCAACTCAACAATTTCTATGTATACAATCCAGTGACTTTGATTACATTCTTCAAATTGTACAACCATTCTTACACTCCTTTTCCAAATTGTTCCTCAACCATTAACGTAAACTCACTGTCCCCAAGCTTCCCAGCTAAACGTCCAAGTTGCTGTTGTCAGTTTGATCCCATGGAGATGGTTCTTTAAAGGAGCAAATGCTCAAGGCAGATTTTTTTTTTTTTTTTTTTAAGGGAAAGCAAAAGGTTTATTGGGCATGGATACCCAAGAAGACAGTGAGAACCGTTTCTCCAAAATGTCTGTCTCCCCGAGCTGGGGACTGGTCAGAGTTTTTAAAGGGATTTGAGCTGAAAGGGTAGGGTGGATTTGGGAATGCTGATAATGTTTTCTTCCCATCATGGGGTGAGTCATAGTTGTCTGTGTCCTCTCAGCCCTTCCTCTGATCAGTCTCAAAGCAGATACTTTACTAACGAAACTTAACTATTGTTTGGTTTAAAGACGACTTCAGGGACTATTTTTGGTTTCAGGTTTAAAGTTTAAAGATAATCTCAGTGCAATAGTTTTGGGGGTTCATTCAGCCTTAATGGCTCCACAAAGTCTGAATTCCATGAGAATTTGTGTTCCACATCTTTCCCCACTTCTGATCAAGATTTCTGTAGAATCTTTGATCAAAACATTCAGTAACATAGCTGGGAACCAACCTGTTCTGGTCTTTTGGCAAAGGAGGTAGTTGTTCATGTCATGAATGAATTTGACAATGAAATAAAAGTTTTAAAATCTTGAATGATTTAAAAATATTACATATAATAAATTGTAAATCTTATTCATTAAACTATGATTCTTCTTCTTAAATAATTATATATCTAAGGAAGAATATCAATGATTCCAACATTTATTGAGTAGTAAACCCTAACACTTTTTTCTATACTTTTGCAGTGACTGTCGTGAAGAAAAAATAAGAAAGCTCACACCTGGTGAAATGGATGAAATTAGAGAAATATTATCAAGAAATCTCTATCAAATCCGTCAGCGAGTGAGAATAATTTATTTATCAAAGTACTTGTTTGCCTTTGGCTAAAAATGTCCATTTTCATTTTGGGCAATAATTGGATGACCCACCATTAGCTTCAAATTCTGCTTATCTGACATTTGGGCGTCTTCTCTTCTTCTCTCAGGCCCCTCTTCAGAGCATTCCCATCTTGTACCCCATCAGGGTACCACCATTCTCCTCCCAGACACCATGGCTAAAAACTCAGAATCCCTTGGGTTTTCTGCTCCTGTGGGCCGAGAGATAAAGAAATATGTGTTGACTAATTATGGAGAAATTAATTGATGGCTATTTTTTTTATTTTCTTAAGAAAATAACTTTAGAAGCCCTTTAAATGCATTAAGTCTTCATTGATATCCGTAAAGTTTTATAGTATTTTTCCTATATCTTTTGAATTACTTCTTTCACTACATTTCCATTATCAGCACTGCATTCTAATAATTTGCTAATAATACAGCTAACACTTAGTTGATATGATTTGTTGTTGTTGTTGTTAAGTGTCGTCGAGTCGTTTCCGACTCATAGCGACCCCATGCACAGCAGAACGAAACACTGCCCGATCCCGCACCAGCCCCACAATCCCTGCTATACTCGAGCCCATCATCGCAGCCACTGTATCAATCCATCTCGTTGAAGGCCTCCCCCTCTTTCGTTGACCCTCCACCCTACCAAGCATGATATGATTTGCTAAGCTCTATTTCAGTGCCATGTTGTACTTGTTAATACTGTCTCCATATTATAGATGAAGTGACTGAGGCACAGTGAGATGAAGTGTCACAGAGGGTCACACATCTTGTCAGTGGCCATTCTCACTGATGTCTGGCTCATTTCTGTCACTTCTTAGCTGGCTTCCCCAAAATCCTACATTATCATTTTTCTGTTCATCTCCATATAACTCCTTTTTAATGAATTTATTCTCTTATTTAAACTAAACAAAACAATTCTAAAATAAAGTATTATTTTAGAATTTGGGGTCTCTATTTCTAAGCTCCATTTTATATAACCTATTTTCTATAACTCCCTTGTCCACCCTCCCCAAAAGCCCATGATTTCTAAGTTCTGTCTTCATTCCTTTACCCGTGTCTTCACTGTCTCCATTTGGAACACCCCACTGCTACCTTACAGCTGATCTATATTTTCCAAATTGTAATGTCTCTCCAACAACTACTAGACTGGTCCCAGCCCTATCATTAAATTGTTGTTGTTACTTGCCATCGAGTGGGACCCGACTCACAGTGACCCCTCCTTGGATTTCCGAGGTAGTATCACTACAGAAGTAGATTTCCCAGCCTTCCTTCCGAGGAGTGGCTGGTGGGTTTGAACCACCAGCCTTGTGGTTAGCTGTCAAGTGCCTTAGGCACTACGCTACACTTTGAGGGGATAGCCTAGTGGCACAAAGGTTAAAAGCTTTGCTTTTATGGAAAGGTTCTGAAGTTAATCAAAAGGACATGGCACCACCAAGTGGCTTCAATTTTTTTTTTTTCCTGTTGTTATTGTTAAATACCAGTAATTTCTATTTAGTAGAGAATGTATAAGGAATTCTGGTGATGCAGTGGTTAAAGCACTCAGATCCTAACCAAAAGGTCAGTGGTTTGAACTTACCAGTTGTTCCGTAGGAGAAAGATGAGGCAGTCTGCTTCTGTAAAGATTTACAGTTTTGGAAACACTATGGGGAAGTTCTACTCTGTTCTGTGGGTCACCATGAGTCAATTGACTTGATGGCAGTGGGTTTCTTTCTTTCTTTTTTTTTTTGGTATGAAGATGATTTTTTTACCAGGTGCCAATGATAACTAAATACATATAAAATACTTTGATGTAGATAAAGCCACTACATGAATTCAGTCATTTTTCTCCTTTATCAAGATTGTACTTTTCAACGAAAAATATATACACTGACTTTCCTTAGAGGACAAAGAGGGCTGTCATAATTTGAAAGAATGTTAGCTTTTATATTTTTAATTTTTATTTATTTTCTTTCTCTGCACAGAGATTTTAAATGCCTAGCTGAGGTGCAAAGCTAAAGAAACATGGTAAAGTTTTGGAATGTCGAGGGGAAGTGTCAGTTCTTTTGTAAAATGTCACTTCTGTGTTTTCATTTCAGACTTTGTCATACAACAGACACAATCTGACTGCCGACACGAGTGAGAGGCAAGCCAAAGAGATTCTGATCCGCCGACGGCACAGTCTGAGAGAAAGCATTAGGAAAGACAGCAGCTTAAATCGGGATCGCAGGGTAACTGGATTCTGTGCCTCTGGAATGCATAGGCTTCCAACAGCAAAGCCGGGAGCCTCTGCTAACGGAGGGCTGCTGAGGATTACTTTGGGGATAGGATTCTGGGATGGAATTATGAATCATTTCCAAATATTCCTTTGAAAAACAATGTTCCATACACTGTTCTAGGCACTTGGAACATGTTTCGGTGAATGAAACTGAGAAAGATCCTATGCATGTAGAAGAAGGCAATAAGCAATAGACTGTTACTATGTTATGATAAGCAACCACTAGTACCGTAGAAAAAAGTAATCAAAAATAGAGTCAAAGAAGGAGCTTGGGAGTACCAAAGGGGCAAAATAAGCTAAAATTTAAAGTAGAATGCCTGGGCCAAGCTTCATTTGGAAAGTAATAATGGAGCTTTCCAAGGAGAGGGGACAGCCAGTACAAAGGCTCTGGGGTGGGCACCTGTGTGATCACTGAGGAACTGTGAGAAAACCACAGTGGCTAGTGATGTGAGCATTCATGGGATGGTTTTTTCAGCATTTTAGTTGGTCCAAGGTATTGTGGATAGATAAGAAAAGCCCTTTTTAATGAAAGTATGATTTATGGATTTAATATAGCAGGCATTGTATCTTATTTTAAATAATATTCTTTGTTAGGTTATCAGAGATCAAATGGTTTCCAAATCTATTAAAGTAAATAAAACTTAAATATGCTACAGTTTTCATCCTTTACATATAAATCCTGAGTCTTTGTAGTCATACTCTTAGAAATAGTTGTCTACTGAGACAACTTTTTCTTTAAGAAAGTTAGCTTTTCTTAAAGAAAACCCAGTGGTTTGTACATCTTGTTCCTAATGGTTGCAGTTTATTTCTGTCTTCCTTAGGACTGATTTCTATTATGTTTTGGAAGGAATTTAGTTATTTCAAATACAGTAATTATTGCAATTATTGCTTAGAATTTTACTCCCCACTCCTACAGCCCCTCCACAAAGTAATTTTGAATTGAGAACTAATTTAAATTTTAATACCAATGCACATTCTGCCCCAAAATTTTAAACTTCTAATATACAATAAAAGCTATTTGAGTAGTCTAATTAAGGTTTTCTATTTCCTTTGTAGGCTTCTACATCAACCTCCCGATATTTATCATTACCTAAAAATACAAAGCTTCCAGAAAAGCTACAAAAGAAAAAGAATTTATCTAATGCAGGTAATAAATACACATGGAATAAAAAAAAAATCAAATCTATTTACTATTTCTTAAAAATCAAATCTATTTACTATTTCTTATAAGAAAGAAATTACTCTTTTTTATTAATGACTATGAGTCCAATAGCTTGCAAGTGTAAAAATAATGTGATGAGCTTTTATTGGCATTGCAACCTTTATAAATGGAGTTCTGTGTACATTATAAATAAGTCAATTAGTCCTCACAATAACTTTATTTGATATAGCAATAGTAAGTACTATTACCATTGTGGTTATTTGACAGGGAAATAGAAAATTATAAATCTGCAAATGTGTAAACCTTTAAATTTTTAATAATTCTAATATATTTTCATAAAGGCAACCATGTATTTTACTTCTGATTATAATTATTAAATTTGTATTATCAGGTCTAATTCTGTTATTGTTGTTGTTGGTGCCATTGAGTTAGCTCCGACTCATAGCGACTCTATGTAAAAAAGAACTAAACACTGTCTGGTCTGGCACCAGCCTCACAATACTTGCTATACCTGAGCCCACTGTTGCAGCCACCATGTCAATCCATCTCGTTGAGCACCTTCCCTTTTTTCATTGGCCATCCACTTTACCAAGCATGATATCCTTCTCCAGGGAGTGGTCCCTTCTGAACAACATGACCAAAGTAGGTGAAACGAAGCCTGGCCATTCTCACTTCCAAGAAACATTCAGGCTGCACTTTCTCCAGGACAGATCTGTTAGTTCCAAATGGTCTAATTCCACCATCTAATTATTGGATTATAATCTTTATATAGACTCACAAGTCATTTTTGGTGAACCCCAGAAGTACTGTGTTAGGATTCCATGGTAGTACAATGTAGGATATAACAGTAATACCCTTTTGGGAGGGGTTTGTTTACTTAATTCACCGAGAAGTCATCAAATGATGGCTCATGTTACTGGGGGGCAAGGTGAGAAATTGGAAGGGAGAACAAGGAAATAAAAGAGAGCACTGAATATTTATAATAATGGCCCATGTTGTTACCATTTGACCATCAGAAATACTCTCACGTCCCAAGAATCTCAACTCTTAGGCAAGCATACTAGGTGACTCAACTACCACCATCCTGTCAACTATCCTACCCACATGACTCCACGACCTGAATTTTGACAATCCCTTGGTTCTAATCATTCCTCCTCTCCTTGCTCGGGAAATACACATTTGTGGTTTGGACCTCTCCTTCCCCTTGTATAAAAATATAAAGGAAATAAGTGAAGCTGTGTACGAGATTCCAGATTAAGGCATGGAGCTTCACAAGAGCAGCTAATTAGACTGCTCAGAGTCCGTGGGTGTACAACATATGCTCTATAGCTAACAGAAAGGTTGGAGGTTTGATTCCACCCAGAGGTGCCTCTGAAAAAGACCTGGAGATCTAGTTTCAAAGAATCAGACATTGAAAACCCTGCAGAGTACAGGTCTACTGGGACACACATGGGGTCACCATGAGTTGGAGCCAACTTGATGGCAGTTGTTTTTTATTGGATGCCTGATGTGTGCCAGACACAGTGCTAAGCTTCTTGAATATATTGTCTCCTTGGATCATTCCTGTGGGGCAGGTGAGAGCATAGCCCCTGCTGCCAGACTGTCTTCATTTGAATTCCAGCTCTACTACTTACTACTTCTCTTGTGAACCTGTTACTCTGTCCCTAAAATGGGTGATTATGAGGATTAAGTGCGTCAATAAATTTTAAGTGATTAGGATAGTGCGTGGCACATAATAAGCCATACTGTTAGTACACACTTGTGATTATAAAGGCTTACAGAGATTGCATACCATATCCAATGTCATTCAGCTAAAGTTAGAATGAAGCCTTCTATGTGTTTGTGTAGAAGGGGGGCTTCCCACCCTCCTAGAGCCTGAGAGCATAACAGTTGCACTGATCCACTAATGTACTGTCACTTACAACACCTTCTCTCTAACTTGGTTGCCCATTTTGTCCTTCTTTTCCTCTGTGGTAGATGGCAACAGCAGTGACTCAGACACAGGTACTGGGACCACCGTCCTCAACTTGCAGCCCCGAGCAAGGCGCTTTTTGCCAGAACAGTTCTCAAAGAAAGCCCAGCAGGCCTACAAAATGGAATATAAGAACGAAGTAGAAGGAGATTCCAGTAGAGGGCAGCCCTGCAACACTTCAGTTCCCCACAGCAAAGAGGGAGGCACCCAGACCCCAGGTGTACTAAGGCAGCCCCTTCTCTCCAAAGGCCAGATTCCGATGGGCCCAGAGACGGAAGAAAGTTTGACTGAAGGCATCCGACCTAAGCCACCACCAAGGCTGGTCCGGAGAGCATCAGAACCTGGAAATCGGAAAGCCAGATTTGGAAGTGATAAGCCTTAATGGAAGCAGCCAGAGCAGACCTGGGGAGACAAACCGAACATACCTATAGTTTATTACTCTGAAACCTGAGAACAATGGAATCGATTTTAAACTTTTTATGGATTTTTCTATGTGTGGTAGAACCATGGTATTAATTAATGGGATGATGAATACTTATTTTGACAAGAGGAAAATCAAAGAAAAAAAAAAGTCTTTTATGACTTATTGCCAGCAATTGTATTCTTTACAGGTCTAAAGGAAAAAAAAAAGTGTGCCTTTATTGAACTTGAATGACAGAACTTGAAATTTTTAACACACCCTCTTAATGAAAATTTTAATATATACATATATGCCTCAAATTTTATTTATGTAAATATATATATCTGTAATCAGTTTTTAAGTGAATGGCACTAAAAGTACTCACAGCATCTTTCCAAGAGTTAAAGGGGAGCTCCTGGAGGGCGGTGGGTCCATCAGCTCAGGATAAGGGAAGTTTCCCATCCTGAAAAAAGAGTAGTTGGTAAAGGAAGAACGAGGTCCAGAGCAGAGAAATCCAGTGACTGACACTAGGAAAACAATCAGAGTACCTAGGCAGATAAAGTCTCTGGCTCCTATGGCACAAATTAGAGGCCCCATTACTCCTATGAAATGATGAGAGTCACTGGTTCTTCATTTGTTCCTCTGGCATGTGTTTAGTTGTAAATTCCATCTCCCCTTCTTGTTTAAATGCTGCAAAGACGAAAGTTGTAGGGGTGAAACCAGCTTCCAGTGTATGACAGACTTGGTGGCAGCTTTTGACAAAGTTCTACCCATGTGGACCTCATGTGTGGCATGTGGGGAAGTGAGGAAGCATTTGTTTACAACTTATTGGTGGGTTTTATTTTGTGCAATACTTGTAGGAGGATACAGATGATTTTCATGCCCATCAACTACCACTGTTTGTTTCCGTAGAATTTTCCTCTAGAGTGATCTAGAACTTTGAGTCCAGGCCATAGGTCCCACACAAACAAGGATGGAGGTTTACATACACAGTAATCCACTGTTGAACAAATGAGTGAGGTTTCAGGTTTTGAATTTTATTCCAGAAGCATTGTGGAGAATGTGGCAGTTCTATTTTTTTGCACTAGGCTGTAATTTGGTACCTCTCCCCCTCAATAAAGTATAACTCATATTTTTCATATAAAATGGATTCTACTCATCTGAGTAACCTTTTAAAGTACAGTAGAAAGAAAAAGAAGTGGAACATAATCATTAAAGATGAATATTTGAATCTGTCTCTTAAACTGTATTTTCTTGGCCTATTATTTTTGCTCAACAGTCCTTCTTTAAAACTTAGCTGGAACAAGTCTCTAAATTTCTGGATTTAGTTATTAGATGAAGGCACTCATGTAATACCTTGCTTTCACATTGCAGATATATCAAAGAATACAAGTGTCCACAGTATTACTGGAGGAAACATAAATAAAATACACAAAGTGTCAAAAAGACACTGAGAAAACCTGAGCAATGGTTCTCCAACACCTTCCTCCTCCCACCAACACTGAGAAGTAAATCTACCCTTTTTATCATGCTCTAAAATCTTGGAATACTGCTGGGTTGTTGGGCACGAGACAGAGGATAGGACAGATACAAAATGTATAAGTTTCAGATGCTCCCAAGTTGATCAGTGGAAGGCCCTGATTTGAAAACTGCAAGTTTAGGACTCTGTACCAAAAATGTCTCAATTTTAAATGAAGCTTTTTTATAGTTTTTATGTGAATAAAAATGAAACTAACTTACAGGATTTTGTTATAGGAATAAGATTTGCTAAATGGTGATATGTATTTTTTTTGAGAATGCAAAGAGAAAGTTTAGAGAATAGTTACAATTTATGAAAGCTTGGAACCATGTTATTAGTGGTTGCTGCCAAATCGGGTGACCTCGTGTAATACGACTGCACCACAGAGTTGTTGAGGCTGTAACTGTTTGGAAGCAGATCACCAGGCCTTTCTTAGGAGGCACAGCTGGCTGGTCCAAACTGTCAACTTTTCAGCTAGTACTTGAGCATTTAACCATTTGCTCTAATCTGGGATCCAGTGAAAAGGAAGGTAGAGAGTGAAAATGACCTTAAAAATAAATTTCCTGATTTTTCTTGACTTCTCATATTAATTAGAGCTCTGGGGTGAGTGCCTAAGGTATCTGACTGCTAACCAGAAGACTGGCAGTTCAAACCCACCAGCCACTCCTTAGAAGGAAGATTAAGCAATCTACTTCCGTAGTGATACCATCTCAGAAATCCAAGGAGGGTTTGCTATGAGTCAGATTCGACTCGATGGCAGTGAGGTTTTTTTTTTTTTTTTTTTGGCTCATATTAATAAATATTCTAAGAGGTTTAATGCCCTGGAAATGATGGAAGAAACATGAAAATTTTATATCACATGCTGTTATTAAGCAGGTAGATCAAATTCTGATTTCATTCATTAAAAGTAACATAAAGAACTTGAATGGCATACAAATTTTTTCAAAGGAACACCTATGTCATTTTATCTTTACTATCAATCAGAGTCAAGTTTTTCCAATCAACCATGACAAAGGTAATGAAAAGTAACAGTTGGCTTCATTCAGCTTTTCCTTTATACTTTGTTGTTTTTCTTTTTATAATTTTTTACTTCTAGAAAGAATAGATGAAGGGAGTATGCAGGCGAAAGACTTTAAGTACCGTAACCATCTCAATTTCTGTACCACAGAAAGATCCCCGTACCTTTGCCAACTCCTGATACAACCAAGATTCTGGTGTGGCTGCAAGATTTGTTGTGTAAGTCTTTGGTTTGTGCAGTAACAAAATGTGAACTACCAAGAAGTGAAAAGTCAGGGTTTCCTTCTTGATATAGAAAGCTAAGGGTAGACTGTCATGGGAATCATTATGCCAGTAAGCAGACAACTAGAAATTGGCCCCAAATTGGATACATTTTAAAACATGCATGGTGGATATGTCCCCAAAATATCTGAGATGACATTTCTTTCAGCTTTTTCTAAGCTTTGTAGGCAGGGTATGATGTTCCTGGGTGGTGCAAATGGCTATGGCCTCAGATGCTAAACAAAAGTCTGGCAGTTCACGTCTCCCCTGCGGCACTTCAGCTGAAAGGCCTGGTGATCTGCTTCCAAAATATCAACCATCAAAAGCCCTACGGAGCACAGTTCTACTGTGACACAAATGGAGTCACCATGAGTTGGAATCTACTTGTCAACTACTTTTTTTTTTTTTGCAGTGGGACTATACATTTTACCTGGGCTTTATATGAAAAGTGTTTATATGAAAAGTATAGAGAAGCATAGTTACAGTTCCTTATTACATGTCTTGGCATGTTTTGCATTTGTTGCCTTATTCAAATTGTGTTTATGTTAAAACTGGCACTTCACTATCATTTGAGAACTGTGATATTTTTGTTAGTTCAAAGTCCACACTTTATGATTTAAAGTTTAAGGAGATTTCTTTGTCCAGTTGAAGTAGTGTTGGCATTATGTGCTAAGATCTGAGGGCTATTCTTTGATCCCTTTCATCTGCCTGAACAAGAAAGGATCATGACTTAAACAGATTGGTGTTGCTGGGGTTTGCCTTTTTCGATGTTTAGAGCTTCTACTATATATCCCACTTTTTAACCAGACCCAGACCTTTTCTTTAATCTGCTCTTGAGGAAGCTGGAGCCCAGTTGGGTAAGTACTGTATTGGAATGACTACTGTCTGTCTGTGAGAAATAATACTTTCTGTCAGATTTTGTCTAGTAAACACCTAGCTGGTACAGTCAAACATGGATCAACTAACCAGAGCTGTGGTGATGAAACTTCCAGGTAATTCGTTTTTGAAGGGCATTTTTAATATAATAGTGACGCACAGCTTTTTGATCCTTTTTAATTTCTAATTTTCTACAAAATTCTGTTTTGTGGAACAGACCATCAACTGCTCATATGCACATTCAAGTTAAAGTTGAAGACAATTAAAACAAGTCCATGGGAGCGAAAATATGACCTTGATAATATCCCTCCTGATTTTAGAGACCATTTAAAGATGTGATGCAGTGAACACCAATGACCGAAAACCAGAACTGTGTGATGACATCAAGAATATCATCCATGAGGAAAGCAAGAGGTCATTAAAAAGAAAGGAAAGGAAGAAAAGACCAAAATGGATGTCAGAAGAGACTCTAAAACTTGCCTTTGAGTGGAGAGGAGCTAAAGCAAATGGAAATGACAAGATAAAAGAGCTGAACAGAAGATTTCAAAGAGCAGCTCAAGCAGACAAAGCCAATTACTATAATGAAATGTGCAAAGACCTGGAGTTAGAAAACCAAAAGGGAAGAACATGTTCAGCATTTCTCAAGCTGAAAGAACTGAGGAAAAAATTTAAGCCCTGAGTTGCAATATTGAAAGATTCTATGGACACAATATTGAATGATGCAGGAAGCATCAAAAGAAGATGGAAGGAATACACAGAGTCACTGCACCAAAAAGAATTGATTGATGTTCATCCATTTCAGGAGGTAACATATGATCAAGAACCAATGGTATTGAAGGACAAAGCTGAAGCTGCACTGAAGGAATTGGCGAAGAACAAGGCTCCAGGAATTGATGGAATACCTACTGAGATGTTTCAATAAACAGATGCCCCTCTGGAGGCACTGACTTGGCTATGTCAAGAGATTTGGAAGACAGCTACCTGGCTAACTGACTGGAAGAGATCAACATGTGTACCCATTCCAAAGAAAGGTGATCCCACAGAATGTGGAAATTATTGACAGTATCATTAATATCACATGCAAATAAAATCTTACTGAAGATAATTAAAAAATGGTTGCAGCATTATATTGACAGAGAGCTTCCAGAAATGCAAGCTAGATTCAGAAGAGGATGTGAAATGGGGGATATCATTGCTGATGTCAGATGGATCTTGGCTGAAAGCAAGGAATACCAGAAAGATGTTTACTTATGTTTTATTGACTATCCAAAAGCATTCGATTATGTGGATCATAAATTATGGATAACAT